TCTTCCTTTAGGTACCCTTTTATAAGGTTCATCGTTTATGAGTACGAATTATGAGGCTAAAGTCTTAAGGGGCGCTTCGCTCTTTTGTCAGCATTAGGTGGATATTCCCCTTTGGTGACATAATTGAGGATGTCTGTATACCATGGTTCTTCTTCCTGTTCTTAGGTTTCTTCTTCATCCTCAATAACTTGAATCTAAGCAGGCTTATGCCTTTTCTCTATTATTAAAGGCATTTGCTTAATTTCCATAAGAATTTTAACCATCGAGGCTGGTCTTGCCAAGGCATCAGCAAATTGGTTTTCTTCTCTTGGTAGGAATGTGTATTCTACCTTTTCAAGTTGATCAGTGAGAGTTTCCAAATAGGTTTGGTATGGAGCTAGGCTTTCACTCCTCACCTTCCATCTTATGGAAATCTGGTTGATGATAAGAGATGAATCTCCGAATATTCGAAGTTTCTTGACTCCCAATGCCAAGACTGTTTCGAGGCCTACCACACATGCTTCATACTCTACAACAATGTTGGTGACGTCGAAGTCAAGCTTTATTGAGATTGGGACATGCTCTTCTTTAGGTGATACTAGTAAGACTCCTACGCCACATCCTTTCTAGTTGGATGCGCCGTCAAAGTATAATGTCCAAGTATCATCCTCAGTTACCATTAACTCTTCATCTAGAAAGTCGTTTTCTTGTACTGGTGTAGAGTCTTCAATTGGAAAGTCTACCACGAAATCATAAACTGCGGATCCCTTGATAGACTTTTAGGGCATGAATCGTAGGTCGAATTGAGCTAAGTTCACCATCCATCTTGATATTCTTCCATTAAGCGTGGATTTCTCAAAGAGATACTTAAGAGGATCCATTCGAGATACCATGTGGACTGTATGGACGAGCATGTAATGTCTTAATTTGGTTATGGCCCACACAAGCGTGAGGAACATCTTTTCAAGAGGTGTGTAGCAGACTTCATATTCAAGCATCTTCTTAATTAGATAGTAGATGGCATTTCCCTTTCCTTCTACTTCTTGTACAAGCATAGCCCCCATTGTTTCCTTCGTGATTGTCAAGTATAGGCGAAGAGGAACGCCTGGGAGTGCTGGTGCTAGTACAGGTGGATTTGCAAGGTAGGCTTTGATCTTATCAAAGGCTTCTTGACATTCATCGTCCCATACTAACGGTACATTCTTTTTCAGTTTCTTGAATATTGGTTCACATATCATGGTGAGTTTTGATATGAACCTACTAATGTATTGCAACCGGCCAATAAATCCTTGGATTTTTCTTCTCGGTTTTAGGCGGTGTCATGGAACTGATTGCCTTGATCTTAGTGGGATCTATTTCAATTCCTCTAGAGCTAATGACATAGCCTAGAACTTTTCCTGAGGTAACCCCGAATGCACACTTGGTGTGATTTAACCTTATGTTGTATTTCCGAAGTCTTTCGAAGAATTTTCTCAAGCCTACTTGGTGGCCAGGGCAATCGTTGGATTTCACGATCATATCGTCCACGTACACCTCGACTTCTTTATGCATCATGTCATGGAGTAAGGCAGTCGCTACTCTTTGGTACGTGGCACCAACGTTTTTTAATCCGAATGGCATCGCGGATTAGATGATGATTGTTGGTGATCAAGCTTGTTGATGATTGAAAACAAGGTGAAATGACCTCTATATATAAGGAAAAAAGAGGGTCGAAGGATCAAAAAAGAGTTGGAAATCAAATCAAAGTAAAGCAGGTTCCATCGCGGCGCAATAACTTTGTCGCGGCGCGACAAGTTCATCGCGGCGCAACAGCTTTGTCGCGGCGCGATGATCCTGAAATTTTGCTGTTTTTGTTCTTATCATAACTTTTGATCTAGAAATTGGAATAAGATAAAAAATACATAGTTGGAAAGCTCTAAAAGCCTAATTTTCAACCCAATTAGAATAAAATTGATATCTTTTGTAGAATAAAAGATATGATCGAAATAGTGGAACAATGTCAGTTTTAGATAGAGTTTGGTATTTTAATCATATCTTTTCCGTTTCTAATCGGAATTGGGATTATGATATATAATTGGAAAGATAATTTCAAGGGCTATCTAATCGTCCAATATTTGGATAAAAAATATGAGGCACAAAATTCAGTTTTGACTAGGATTAGGATTATTAAAAAAGAGATGCTTTATTCTATCTTAAACTCTTTGATTTTTATCCTTTGGAAAGGATAGATTAGAACCATCTAAAGACTTCTAGAAGTTCCTAATGAATCCTAATTGGTTTAGGATTGGGATTAAGGTATTGGACCCTCCACATGATCATTGGGTCGTGGACTTAGGTTTGGTTTGGGCTTGGTTTAGTATTTTGGCCATAACGTATTCGTTATAAGTCGGATTTGGGCTTATAATATATCGTTGGAAAGATATTTTCAATCCCCATACAAAGAAACAATAATTGGACCAGGAATATGCACTAAAACAAACTGGTTTGGACATTTTATAAAGAGGACACGAAATGAAAGATTTTCAAAGAGACGAAGTGAATTATTTTTGCTTACAACATTTAAGGAGAGGTTATAAATGGTCAAGGCTAAAGGGAATTCATGAGACTCTTCAACTCTTTTACCTAACTCGATAATCAAAGACGTGAAAGGTACTCATCACTTGTGTTTGGGGTAAAATTACCCTGTACCAAAGCTGACACGTGTCAGCCCCAGAGAGGCCCAATGGGATCCAATCGGATGCTGACACGTGGCACTGTAACCCTAATAGAGGAACAAATCTTCTTCTACTATAAATAGAGGAAACTCCTCATTTATTATGGATCCAAAAACACTCATAAATACAAACACAAAAACCGAGTAATAATAATTGCAGAATTCTCTCTGAATCAGAGAGAAAATCCATTTACTTTCTGCACTTTTATACATCCGGAGACGTTCTAACTTGATCGTCGGAGGCGGAACTCCACCCAACCAGAGTTTCGTGGTTTTGCAGGTACAGATGGTCGGCACGCATTCCCAGAATTGTAATCTCTCTCGGGACTCTAAAACCCCCGAAACAAGTGGGTTTTGTTTATTGGGGAAACACAATTAGGTGTCTACACCACCACAAGGAGAGGAATGGCACATAGAGAGAACACTTTGAAACTCATCATTGGGGATGCATCTTCTTAAAAGACCATCAACTCCTCTTTTCAACAATATGGGATCATCCCATATATACCTCTTGCCACATGCTTGAGTCTTCGACATTGTTGAGCAGTGAAATCCGGAGGAATGGCACTACAAGCCAAATAGTACACAATATCGGCATACCAAGGCTTCGATTTCTCCTCAAGAGCATATAGAACATCATCCATTATGGCATCCTCAATTAGTAGGTCATCTTCATGTACTCTAGCAACTCCTAGCCTTGAAAGATGGTCGGCCACCACATTTTCGGCTCCCTTTTTATCTCTAAGTTCCAAATCAAAGTCTTGGAGTAATACCACTCACCTTAACAACCAAGGCTTTGCTTCCTTTTTTCTAAGAGAAACTTTAGCGACAAGTGATTTGTCCACACAATTATCTTGGACCCAATGAGGTAAGACCGGAATCCCTCAAATGAATGTACAACCGCCAAAACTCCTTTTCGGTTGTAGTGTAATTCTTCTGTGCCTCAATGAAGGTCTTTGACAAATAGTGAATTACATTAAGCTTTCCATCTTTTCCTTGTCCCTAGACCGCACCAATTGCTTCATCACTTGCATCACACATTAGTTAAAGGTAAAGACCAATCGGGGCCTTGGATAATAGGAGCGGAGCACCACGCTTCCTTTAACCTACAAAAAGCTTTCAAACAAGCCTCATCAAATACAAACTCTTTTTCTTGTTGCAATAAAGTAGTGAGGGGTTTGGCAATTGAGGAGAAGTCCTTAACAAACCAGCGATAAAACCGGAATGACTAAGGAAACTTCTTACTTCCTTAACATTAGTGGGTGGAGGAAGATTCTCAATGACATCAACTTTAGCCTTGTCCACCTCTATGCCTAAATGGGAGATTTTATGCCCCAGAACAATTCCACTTGTCACCATAAAAAGGCATTTCTCCCAATTAAGCACTAAGTTGGCTTCCTCACAACGTTTAAGGCAACGAGATAAATTAGAGAGGCAAGCCTCAAAGGTGACTCCTCCTACGGAAAAGTCATCCATGCAGACCTCCATCTCCTCTTCAATCATGTCACTAAAGTTTGACATCATACATCTTTGAAATGTGGCAGGGGCGTTATAAAGTTCAAAAGGCATCTTACGATACGCAAAGGTACTGTAAGGGCACGTGAATGTAGTCTTCTCTTGGTCCCTTGGGTCAATCGGGATTTGGAAAAATCTCGAACAACCGTCAAGGAAAAAATGATGGAGTGGTTTATAAGTCTTTCCAACATTTGATCAGTAAACCGTAAGGGAAAATGATCTTTGCAAGTACTTATATTGAGTTGGCGATAGTCAATGCACGTTCGCCAACCGGTAACAAGCCTAGTAGGAACCAATTGATCACGATCATTTTTCACCACCGTCATGCCACCCTTCTTTGGCACAACTTGTACGGGAGATACCCAATCAATATGAGCGATTAAACAAATAATTCCCGCATCAAGAAGTTTAGAAACTTCCTTCCGCCAACCTCTTGCATGTAAGGATTGATTTTCTGTTGCCTTTGCTTAACCGGTCTAGCATCTCCTTCTAGATCAATATTATGCATGCATAAGGATAGACTTATACCCTTAAGGTCATCAATGGTATAACCCAAAGCCTTCTTGTGTTTCTTCAAGACATTGATCAAGAGGGAAGTTTGCTCTTCCGTTAGATTAGAATTGATGATTACGGGGAAAGCATTATTGGAGTCAAGAAATGCGTACCTCAAGCCCAAAGGTAGAAATTTCAACTCCATCTTTGGTGCTTCCTTACCTTGTAGAGCATCTTGCTTGTCATTCACATGATGGAGATCAAGTGGTGATATGTTGCTTTCTTGAATTGGTTCTTCAACCTACTCATTGAGCATTGCTTCGTATGCTAGCACTTCCTCTTTTGGACCTATCTTAGTCACATTCAACAAGACATTCTCAAGAGTATCATTAGTAACGTGCATATAAGAGCGAGAAAATTCATTGAGCATGGTATCAAGAACATCAATTCTAAAACATTCACCACTTGAGGAGGGTTGTTGCATGACATTATTCAAGTCAAATTCAATGGAATCATTGTCAATTTTTAAGGTCATCTTACTCTCCTTCACATCAATGATTGCTCTAGAGGTAGCTAGAAACAGTCTACCTAAAATAATAGGAATCTTCTCATCCTCATCAATCTCTACCACATAAAAGTCCACGGGAAATGTGAACTTTCCTACCGTAAGGGGAACTTCCTCAACCTTACCCATGGGAAACTTAGTAGAGCGGTTCGCTAGTTGAAGAGTAACATTTGTGGGGGAGAAGGTTCCTACACTAAGCTTTTGGTAGATGGAATAGGGCATGAGGCTTACAATTGCTCCCAAATCACACAAAGCCTTTTCAAACTCAACACCATTAATGGAACAAGTAATGGAGAAACTACCTGGATCCTTCAATTTGGTAGGAAGTTTGTTGGAAATAATAGCACTACAATTTGCGGTTAGGTTCACGGCTTCACACTCCCTTCTCCCACTCAAAAGGTCTTTCAATATTTTGGAGTAGTGCGGCATTTGTTTCATAGCATCAACAAAAGTAAGGGAAACATGCAAATTCTTAATGACCTCCAAGAACTTCCCAAATTGAGCATCAAGCTTAGATCTCACAATTCTTGAAGGGTAAGGAAATTTATCCTCTCATGGTTGGTTGTTCAAGGGTAAAGGTGTTGTTTCTTTTGAGGAGTTTTTCACTTTAACTTCATCAACTCTCTCATCATTTTTCCTCACATCCTCAACCTCTTTTTCTCCACTCAAAGGCTCATTCACCAAAGGTGTATCATCATCATAATTCATCTCAACTTCCTCATGAGACTTTTTCTCAACTAAAGGGTCACTCCCTACCACTTTTCCACTCCTATTTGTCACGACATACATGGTTTTGGGGCTAACCCCTTGACTAGGAAGGGAAGAAGAAGAATAAGGTGAGTTAGAAGAATTAGATGCAAGTTGAGCAATTTGAGTTTCCATCATTTTCATGTGGGCTTTTAAATTGCTTTTTCTCCGCTTCTTGACTTTTATTAAAATCCTCTTGATTTTTCATAAAAGTTTGGAGCATTGACATTAAAGGATCGGAGGGGTGCCTGCAATTGAAGAGGTTGTTGAGGTGGGGGAAGTTAGGGTTGATGGAAACCCCGAGGCCTATTAGTTTGGGCATAATGAGAAGTATATTGAGCCCTATTGCCTCCAGTACCTTGGTTGGAAACATTTATTTGTTGATTATTCCCCATATTACTTTGATCACCAAAACCTTGGTTTTGATGGTCATAGTAACTGGAGTTGTGTTGTTGATTTTGATTACCATAACCGCTTTGGTTAGGGTAGCCTCTTCCATTGGGATTGGAAGGGTCTCCCCCACCATGGTATTGGCTATCATAACCACCACCACCTTGGTTCCAACCACGGTTCCAATTTTGATTCCAATTCCCCATTAGATTGGGGTTTGGCCTCATGTTCCCCATATTCCCCATGAGTGGGGTAAAATTCATAGCATTGACATTCTCCACATTATCAACATGTTCTTGGAGAAGGGGTTGAGTTTCACAAGAATATACACATTGGGAGGTATCATGATCATAAGTGCCACAATTATCACAAAACAAGCATCCCGGGGGCATTGTATTGTAAGAAGTAGGGGGAGGAGTGTTCATTCCATTACCTCCCTAGGTAAGAGGGGAGGAAGCATTTTGAGATTATATCTTCATGAGCTATTCCATTTGCTTTTCCATCTTGGTCATTTGATAGGAAAGATTTGTGATGGCATTAGCTTGCTCCAATGAATGGACCGTTCCCTTACTGGAGGTAGCTTCACATTCTCCTTCACACCAATCTTCGTAGTTGCGAACCACGTACTCTATGATTCATTCCACCTCTTCCTCTATTTTGTTCATTATTGGACCACCCGCACCGACATCCAAACTTGTCTTGCTTTGAGGAGAAAGAACACCATAAAAGGTTTGAAGAACTTGGTAGTTGGGAATACCATGATGGGGGCATTGTCTTTGAAGTTTTGTGTACCTCTCCCAAGCTTCACACAAAGATTCTCAACCTCTTTGACGGAACCCTTGAATTTCAGAATTAGCATCGGCGGTCTTCTAATGATTATTGAACCGTCCTAAGAAAGCGGTGGTGACTTCATTCCATGTTGTGAGAGAACCGGGAGGGACATCCTTCTTAAGCCAATGCTCGACCATACCCATGAGAGAAAAGGGAAACATCTTAAGGCGGATGTACTCTTGAGAAACACCATTTGTCTTAATGGTATCACAACACTTGAGAAATTCCTCGAGATGCTAATGTGGATTCTCAAACTTCCCACCCAAAAATTGCCTCTTCTCAATCATAGTAATGAATATAGGCTTGATCTCGAAATTGTTTGCTTGAGTGGTGAGGGGTAGAATCCCACATTAAGGTGTGTAAGCTTCGAGAGTCCCTAATTGCTTTAGGACTCCATGTTGTGGGGTTGCACACTTTCGAAATCGATTGAGAAGAAAGGGTTGATCTCCTAACTTGAGGAAGAACTAGGAATATTTCCTTCTTCACTTGAGGATGATGAAGGTGGGGTAGTATGAGAGTTCTAACTCCTTGCTCTTGCCTCTTTCCTTAGCAAAGTCAAAGAACGCTCTAACTCGGGATCAATGGGCACCAAAGATCTTGAGTGAGTTCGTTCCATGTTCATAAAACAAAGCTAAGAAGAAGGTAAGCACTGACAAACAAAAAACAAAAGCAAAAGAAACAATGAACTAGTCTCAAAAAGATAGCAAACACATAATGAAAACCGTTTTCCCGGCAACGGCGCCAATTTGATGTAGGGAAAAATAGGTCGTTACTATCTATCCCCAAATCAAGTAAGATTTATAACCTAGGCTAACCAAATCAAGTATATGGTAAGCAAAGGGTCGATCCGCAGGGAAAGGTCAAACACTACAATCACTATAAAAAATTAAGCTAGTTCGGCAAGACGAGAATTGATTAAAGCAAACACTAAAACAACTAATCACATGGTAAATTCTATATAGCAAGCACTAAGAAGAATGGGTAGATGTAAGCTTGACTTGAACATACATAGAAAAGGAATCGAGTTGATCGCGAACTAAGCATGCTTAAATATCGAAATAAGATCCAATCTAACCACCTATCGAGGCCAAAAGGTTTCACCTAACATAGCCTCTATTCTATCGCATTAGAACCATATACTAGGAGGTACAATCAAGCATAAATCGATACAAATGAATCTAGCAAGGTCCGCTATCGCATCATCAAGCATCAATTCATCTTCAATTCACGAACAACGTGTACTTTGCAAGAAAATTGAATAACATCAAGCATATAAAGACTTTAATCACAATCAAATCAAATTCCAAATCAAAAGTATGAACAAGATTCAAGTACATCATCCCCACACCCTAAGTAAAGAAAACTACTTACTAATCATTGCAATTAACAAGTTAATCATCAAATCAACAAGCAAAAGCATGATTATTAAGCAATTAACAAAGCAAATCAAAACAATTAACAAAAGTAAAGAGAAAAGAGTAAGAGAATGCTCATTCATTGAAGATGAATGTCTACAAATAATATGATCAATCTTCCTCTTCAAAATCTAAGCATCAACAATAAAGAAATCCTAACTTTCTCTCTCTACGAAGCTAAGCTAAGAATGTTTCTCTTTCTAGATTAAGCTAGTGAAATTTCTAAGTTAGTTTTCAAAAGGATTTACAAGAGTATTTATAAAGAAAGAACAAAATAGAGTCGTGTGTAACCTCTCCGGAATAATATCGCGCCCGCTGTGGCTGAGGCCACGGTCGCGGTGACTGGGGCCGCGCCCATGGTGAGGGCGCTCCAGAAGCCCTCCCTCCGTAGTTGATCAGACGTGCATGCCCTCTCAAAATCTGCGCGCTCTCTCCAATTTTAGCGCGCCCGCGGCTGAGGCACGGTGCGGGCGCGCACTTATTCTGCCTCATTTTTGGCAAATATGCTCCTTAAGTCAGAGCACCTACGGCGTCTGGTGGAGCGCCTGCGATAAGGTCAAATGCTTCGCGCCCTCTTCGAAGGCGCGCTGAGGTGCCTTTGCTTCTTCCTTATAGCTTCTCTTGATTTCTTTTCAAAGCCAACTCCTTGAGTGCTTACAAAACACACCAAGGAAAGAAGATAAAGGAGGAAAATTCCACATAAAAGAAAGCAAAAGAAAACTCTACAAGAAGGCATTTATTCCTGCAAAAAGGATCAACAAGACTAAGGAGTAAAATCTAACTAAAACATGCCAAAAAGAAATAAAAGGAGATTAAAACTAGAAGAAAACCTACCCTAAGAGTGTCATAATATGACACTTATCACTCTGCTTTAACAATTCTTCCAATTCTCACTCCAAACCTCCTCATTGTATCACGCAGGTTCCTGGGTTTAATGATATTGTCTCTTACTGGTATAAATGTATAATCCCCTTCCTTTTTCCTAAATTTTACTAAACATTGAATTGAATTTATTTATTTTAGTATGTGCTAGGTCAAGGTTAATTTTGTTTAAATTTTGTTTGAATTGAATCAGCCGGCGCTAGGAAGTGAGTTGGGCGCCGGCAGGGGGAGGAAGGGTGGGAGGACGGCTGGCGGTGGGTGAGGGTGGTTTGAGTTTTTTTTAATTTTATTTTGTTAATTTAAGAAAATAATTAAAGAAAAATAAACAAATGACCAAATCTTCAGGTCACATGTCATTTGGGTTTACTAGGAGAGAAAAAACACAAACTTAGGTTTATTTTGGGAAAATTTAAAGGTTGGTGCATTTTGGAAGCATGGAGCAAAGGTTGGTCTGCTCTTGTTAAATTTTTCTATTACTAATTATTATTTTTAAGCAGAGCAGAGTAGAGGAGAACAGCTGAAAGAACAGGGCCTTCATCTGCTTGGTGGAAAGTCGTCAGTCAATTCCAAGTCTAACCTTGTCGCCGTATGTCAATCTAACACAATATTATTTTTTATTTCTTTTATTTATTGGTAGTGTGTTGTTATTTGCCAATGATTCTTGAATCAATGATTATATACAACATTACTAAATTCATATTCTGAATAATAGGTTTGGGTAAACCCGCTTTACACCCAAAGCAACACAAAAAATTGGGTTAGACAGATCATTAAAAAAAATTAATTATAAATCTGGTTTACATTTTAGGAAAAATAAAATAAATAAATCAAGTTAAATGGGTCATTTCAGGTTGACCCGAAAACTAAGCAAATCAGGTCGGTCATAATTTTCAACCCGAAAAAGTAAATGGATCAGGTTGGGGTTGGGGGTTTCTAACAGTGGCAGATCTTAAAATTTTTTCTTTTGGGGGCCAATAAATCCTAACATAGATATAATCCTAATACAATATTATAAAAGAAAAATTCATAAAAATAATCCCAAGTTTTGCTTATTCGCCCAAATAATCCCAACTATGGATTATTTTTAAATAATCTAAACTTTGGTGGTCATTCACTCAAAATGGTCCCAAGTGACTGATAACTGAAAAGGTTTTTTTTTTTTAAGTGACACATGTCACCAAATGAATAGTTGAAAACAAATTATTAGAAAAAAAAAATAATAATAAAACTAAAAAAAAAAAAACCCACCCAGCCAGCAACTCCAGCACCACCAATCTGGCAACCACCTCCTAAAAGCCCAGCCATGGTCCCCCGCCTCCCACCCTCGCCGGCGCCAGAAACCTCCCCTACGCCGCCTTCCCCATACCCCCTGAACCACCAAACCTCCACCCCAAAACCCAAATATCCCAACTCAAAACCCGGAACCTCTTGAATTTCTCAATCTTCCTGATGATCGTCCTAGAGACGACGTCGTCGTCGAATTTCTCCGATTAATTTCATCGTCAGGGATGGGGTTGGTGCAGCAGCTGCGTGAGGGATGGGGTTTGTGGGCTGGTGCTAGTCGCGGCAGAGCTGGCGGTGTTCAGGGGTGATTGGGTGTCTGGCGCCGACGGGAATGGGGGGTTCCGGGAGAGATTAGTGGTTGGTGATGTGGGTTTCGGGAAGGATCAGTGGGTTTTATTTTTCTAATTTTTTTTTAATTCTTTTATTTATTTTTTTTAATTTTAAAGGTTTTTTTTAGTTAATTTTAAATCAATTACGTTGTGACACGTATCATCTTGAGTGACCGGTTGGGACCATTTTGAGCAGAGAACCCCCAAAGTTCGGATTATTTAAAAATAATCCAAAGTTGGGATTATTTTGAGCGAAAGGGCAAAAGTTGGGATTATTTTTGTCTTAGAGAATCTCACACCGACAACATCCCTTAGTCCTCCAAGGAACAAGTCCGGGAAAGAGAATGGAAGTTTTTCTTTCCATTCTTCCGGGATGGAGTTAGCCATGAGTTGTGACACTAATTTGCAGTCTTTCGACCATGCACAATAAGTTTCATCACTCAAGAGGGTCTTGGAACAGAGGGTTGGGAGGGAAGTATCCAGAATATACTCTTTGGAACAACTCCGGAGTGTCCTCCTGAGTTCTTCTTCTCATTCATCAAGGTTTGTTAAGTTAAGCTTGATAGCTAACTTTTCGGGGAGTGTTGGGCACATTTGGTTGTTGTTTGAGTTACTTGCAGACATGATTCTACAATTGAAAGAATTTGAAGT